CCGCCAAGGGCGAGGCTGCCAGGCCCACGACGGCCCACACTCACCATGGCCGAAGAGCGTCGCGCGCGCCCACAGCCCCGAGTCACACGGCGCCGGCGACGCCCGTTGTCCTGGTGACGCCAGCCCGGCGCCCCGCCCCGAGCTCAAGGTGGGCGCGGAGGAGGCCATTGGCGTCCGGGGGCACGTGACCCACAGGGGCGGGGCCCTTTGCACCGCCCTCCCCTCCGCCCCCACGCCGCTCGGGGGCGGGGCCTCCTTCGGGGCAGTCTTCAGCCTGATGTCCCTGCTGCCCCTCACCTGGCAGGTGACCCAGCTGCAGACCCACCCAGCCGAACGAGACCTTCGCAGGTTTTCCTTATTTAATATACACAGTACGCTAGTAACACGTGATTACTGAGGACGTTGTAGATTACCAATAACAAGGATTTTGAAAAACACTTTAAATACCAATGCCTGAGTAGCCACTGCTCCTACTCCAGTTTGCTTCCAAGCTCCCAAAGATATCGTATTCTTAAAAATTGAGGGTAACCACATATAATATTTTGTAATGTACTTTTTCCAATTAAAAATTATTATCCTGAACCAGGTGCAGTGGTGTGCACCTGTACTCTCAGCTACTTGGGAGACTGAGCCAGGAAGATCTTTTGAGCCCAGCAGTTCAAAGCAGCCTGAGCAACATATGGAAACCCTGACTCACAACAAAACAAGACAAAATTATTAAATTTGCAAATCAAGTAAAGAAATAGCATCATATATACATGTATGCATATATCTCTAATGCACTGCATCAGCCAGTAATTCGTCGGCACTGGAGGGCATTTACGATGCATACCATAACATCCTCCCAAAAACCAAAAAACACACATGAGAAACTTGCACTTACTCTGAGGAAGAAAAAAACTCTAAAGAATTTCTAGATCAAGGAATATAAGACCAAATATCATTCCTTTTCTGAAATCCATCTCCATATTGCTTTTTGGAAAAATTTTTCTTACTCTTTCTAGCTGCACTGATTAAAATATCTTTTACAGTTAGTGAAAAACTGAAACTGAAATAAGCAAACAAGTCTTTCCAACTCAACACCTGCAAGGAGAGGCAGTGCTGACTCAGCAGACTCAAAACTAGGTCAGTCCACCCTGTCTCGCGCTGTGACCTTTACCCCCGTCCTCCTGGCTGAAGTGCTGTGGAGGTTTTGCACCACTTCCTGTATACTTTTTCATCTCATTTGTGTAAAATACCAAGAAACACAATTGCTAGGCTGTGTGATAAGAATTTGTTTTGTGTTATAGGAAACTCCCAATCTTCCAAAGTGGCTGTAACAGTTTGCGTTCCCACCAGCAATGAACGAGAGCCCCATTTGCTGTGCATCTTCACCAGCATTTGGTGTTGTGAGTAGTTTGGATTTCAGCCATTCGAATGATCTGTGGTGGTATCTTGTTCTAATTTGCAATTCCCTACTGATATATGGTATTGAGTATTTTTTCATACACTTATTTGCCATCTGTAGGTCTACTTGGGTGATTCAGATCCTTTGTCATTATTTAATTCATACTTGTTTTCTTATTGTTGAGTTCCAAGAGCGTTATGGGTAAAAGGGCTTTATCAGCCATGTTTTGCAGATATATTCTCCCATTTTATGGCTTGCCATTTCCTCTGTTTCATCTGAGACACTGGGAATTAAACCCAAGGAAGCTCTACCACTGAGCTACACGCCCCCAGCTTGCTAGCTTGCTTTCTTCCTCCCTCCCTCCTTTCTTTCTTTCTTTCTTTGGAGACAGGATCCCAATAAGTTACCTCAGCTAAACTTGTACCTGCAATCCTCCTGCCTCAGCCTTCTGAGTCGCTGAGAGTACAGAGGTTTGCTGCTGTTCTTAGCTGTGCCTCATCTTTTCTTTCCATTAAACTGCCTTTATTTTTGCTACTTTTCATTCAACATAAGTTGGGCTTATTTGGCTGTACTTTTTCTAGTTTGTCCTATTTAATTTCAATTATTTTGCTCTTTTACTTAATGTATTAGTGACTACAAATTTCCCTCTAAGTACTGTACATTTTCATAGGTATACTTTGTTTAATTCTAAATTGTTTTACTTCAGTTTTGATTCTGCCTTTAAACCATGATTTTTTTAAAACCATGATTGATTCAAGTCTGCCTTTTAGTTTCCAAAAACATAATTACTTTTTTTGTCATTTGTATGATTTTATTGTACTCTGGTTAGGGAATATAGTCAACAGGAAATAGGGTACCGGTTTTTAAAAAGATGTTGAAGCCAGGCATGATGACACATTTGCTTGGAGACTAGGCAGGAGGATACCAAGTTTTCATTTTTTATTTTTTTGTCTTTTTGAGACAGGGTCTTGCTATGCAGTTCAGACTGGCCTTAAGCTCACTTTGTAGCCCAGACTGGCTTCAAACTCACAGTGATCCTCCTGCCTCAGCCTCCCAAGTGCTGGGCTTACAGGCATGTGCCACCATGCCCGGCTCTTTTTACTCTTTATTAATAATACTTGCCGGATATCTTTTCTTAGTATTGATCTGGTATATATCTCTCTATCCTGTTTTAAGTTTTTCTGTGTTTTGTTTTAGCTGTGTCCTTTGGAAAGTTGTTTTCAGATGATTGATGGATCAATCAACAGATTGTTTTAAACATATATACATTATAGGTAGATACCTTGTCTTCAAATAGACATAGTTACTCTGTCAATAAAGAGAAATTTTTAATATATATGCAATATATACAAAAAACATTGTATACATGACACATTGTGTCTTTTTTTTTTTTTTTTGAGATGAGGACTCTATATAGCCTAGGCTGGCCTTGAATACTCTATCCTCTGTCCTCCAAGTGCTGGGATTATAGGCATGTGCCACCTCACCTATGTCTAATTTTAGTATGACATGCCCTGTCTTTGAATACATAGTTTAACTCTGTCTACATCTATATAAATGCTTTTGTCTTTGAGCTTATTTCTCCAAATTTATCCTATAGCTTCCATGTACTATATTTAGGGTTTTTGTTTGTGAGACGGGGCCTTGCTGTGTAGTTCAGTTCAGGCTGGCCTTGAATTCACTGTGTAGCCCTGGCTGGCTTTGCACTCATGGTAATCCACCTGTCTCAGCCTTCCAGCTGCTAGGACTACAGGTGTGCTTTTGTGTGTTTCTTGGTGAGTGGCTGATGTAGCTGTGCCCCGCAGAGAAGCACTGCATCCATACACTTACCCCCAGGCCTGGGGATTTAGCTCAGCGGCACAGCGCCTGCCTGGCAAGCACAACATTGTGAGTTCAATTCCCAGTACCGGAAAAAAACAAAAAACAAAAAAACATACACTTACCCCCGAGCCAGCTCTGTTCCTGTGGATTCCATGCCTTGTCCCTGGCACCCACCAGCTCCAAAGCAGTTCTGTGTTTCTGTTTCCCCTTACCACAAGCAGCAGAGGTGCTAACAAACCGATCAAACTGATCACTGACAAGGTCAAAGCCCAGGAGAAAAGGTAAGCCTGGAGGATCAGCAGAGCCAGGGAGAAATTACAAAATTATGAACCTTGTCAGCCATGCCAGCCTCAAGAAAAGCCCACAGCCTACAAAAACAGTATAGGGTTTTACTCCAATAGCAACTCCTTCACTGCAGGCTAGAGCTGGAGCAGAAACCCAGTGTAGTGCTCACTCATTGCCAGGGTGTTAAATAAGGAGCTGTGTTAGGAAAGCAGTAATTACTTAATTCTGAGCCACAGAACAACTCCATTTCAGCGTTTAGTGTCTTATCCTACACTGCTGGTAACTGAGAAAGAGATAGCTACAAGAGACTGCCAGAGACTGCAAGCTAGACTCAGACCCCCTGAGAAGTTTAAGCTAACTCTGGGAAGGACATGGTTTCCATGCTGAGAAGCTAGGCCCTGGTGAGTGTGTGTTTCAGAGGCAGCAGGATATGATTGCTTTCTCCATCTACCGATATGAGCAATGCAATGCCCTGGCTTTGACAGTTGCCACAGTCTGGGGTGTATGGACAAAGAGGACTTGGGGCTCAGAGGATACCTCATAACCCCCTATAAAGATAAGCAGAGAAAATTGTGACTCCCTGAATTTTAAGACTGTAGATCCTAGAAAGAAACTACTCACTCAAAAATATGGAGAAAACTGAGGATGGTGAATCATGCCTGTGATCCCAGCACTCAGGAGGCTGAGGCAGGAGGACTGCTTGCAAGCTCAAGGCTAGCCTGGACTACATAGTGAGTTCAAGGCCAGCCTGGAATGTATAACAACAAAAAAAAAGAATTTTTATTGCCTCAATTTTTTTCTGTCTTTTATTTGGGGGGAGCTTGTTTCTTCCCTACTGTTTGACTGAACAAGTTATTTGTCTGATTTTTCTATCTTCTGTTTGAAAGATTTACATGTTCTATTTCTGAACTTTGAATAACTGCAATTTGTCATTCTATTCAGGGTGTCAAGTCCCGAGAACAAGGTACCTGCGGATAAATATAAAAGTAAGAAAAAAAGAAAACCAAGAGAGGCAAAATTCTGGGATCAGGGGGCTTACAGCCTCTCAGACTGCAGCCCCAATTACCAATTTCAGTAACTCTTTATTCAGAAAGAAGAAAAGAAGCGGCAGTGCAAATGGGAGGATCTCAACAATTTTAGCAAGGACAATAAATAAGACTTGACGACTTAGCCATCATGTTATCATTCCTTAGGGGATATCTCATCAAATCATTTAGTGTTGACCCCAGGGCGTTCAGTACTTTTGCTAGACTTCCTCCAGAACCCAACAATCATGGTTTGGTCAGGCCTGAGGCAGTATAGAAAAGAGTAACTAAAGAATGTCCTTCTCCACATTTCCCCCTTTTTGTTTTGCTGTGATCCTCTGTGGCATCAGCGAGAAGGCTGCCAATTGTCTTTCCCTTTCTCTGGGCATTTTCTGGATGAACTTCACTGGACTAAGAGGATCAGGCAAAATACAAGTATAATACCATGTAAAATGACAGTAGAAACTTGGAAAAATAAGAATATAGTCCAAAGTCCATAACAGTGGTCAACTATCAGTCTACCTCTTGTGATTACACTTTTCTGCTGGATGTCTAAGACGAAGTTAAAGTGAGACTTGTATAAATAAAAATTTAACCTTTTACTATCAGGGTCAGTTAGGTCTCCTCAGGAATCTTCTTGG